TTCATTTTGAGTGTGGTGTCAGGTAGAGTTCACTGTGAATACAGAGGTCATTATAGAAAATAATGCTTTTAGAGTGATTTGTTTATGCTAGATCTTCAAACACTACATTTTTGTTGTTGTAATACAAAGTCTGAATCATTACATAATTTATTCAAATCAAATAATTGCTGAATGTTTGTCTAAGTGAAAAGAAATTCCTGGATCCTTGTCTTGTTGTGGTGCACTGTTTTTCTTAGAGGATTTGCTGATGGAGAATGCAGCAGTTATGATAAAAAGATTATATAAAAGAGCTCCTGCTGAGAGTCCATGGCATTGTATGGGGTTATACCAAACACTGTATTCCCCAGGGCAGGTACAATAATTAGCTGCAGGACTGGCACTCAGTCTGAGGGATTAATTAGAACTGGAGGTGGAGGGGGAAAGGCAAGGCAGCCATAAAGAGTGTCAGGATCACTCTGGCTTGAAGCCTGTGTGATTTGATGTGAAATAGCAGCAGCTGGCTGTAACCTTAGGAAGTGCAAGAGAACAGCAGGTGGTAATTCCTGTCTCATTTACCATGTCTTCACAGGAACATACAAGCTTGTGTAGCTTGGGTTTACTGGCAGGTCAGAAGGAAAATCCTAAGGAGAACTGTGACATTTACTATACTAAGCAAATGCAATAGTCAAAATGGAGTGTCCACAGCATAGTGTAAAACCAGTAATGCTGTTGCTTAATGTTATTGTACTGGCCATGTGACAAGGTTATGAGCTTACAATATTGACCTTATGTGGGCCAGTGGACAAAGCTGAATGTACTGTGAAAAATCTGGGACAGCTAGTGAGAATGACATCCTCCAAGGCTGTGGTGAATGTAACAGGAGAACTATTTCATCTAAGTAAAAAATCAGAGAGAGGGAATGATACAATGTTATGGCATCCTTTGGTTCTCTCAGTAGCCATTGTATGGGGGCAAGTAGGCTTTACCTACGCTTCCAGGTGGGTAAGCAGGACACTCTAAAGTGGTCACATGGCTGTTAGCCTCCACCAAGCATCATGTTTTCCTTGGCATTTTGGCAAAAATGCAGTGAGGTATGCAACAAATGTGCTAATTTAGAAATTGTAACCAGCTAGCATTTCAGTGTGAGCTGGAGTAGCTGTCAGCAGAGGAATTTAGTAGACCAGTGGTCGCTGTTGATGACTGTAGTGTTTTGTATTCTGCTAGGGCCTCCCAGGGTGTAGGACAAGAACCCTTCCTATGTGCAGTTCAAGAATCAAACCAAATAAAGAGAAAATTGAGTAACTTTGAATCTGTTGTGGAGAACAGCTTTAGATAGAGAAAAAAATAAAACAGATCTAGGAGTTATTTGTGGCTATATTTATAGCAGAGGGACAGGAAAGGAAGAGAACTCATTTTGTGGAGAGGATAGCTCTTTTTATGCTTTTTTAGAAGCGCATTGTGTGCCAACATTGTCTTTCATGGATGCCAGAAGATGCAATGCCTTCTAAAGCCTCCCACGCATGCAAAAATTATGGACCCATTGTAGTTTTGTTGCTGGGTTCCATTTAATATTCCCGTGTTTCTGTCTTTCTCCAAAGAGGTGTGTTACTTATGGGGGGTGATGCAGGTCCAAACTGATGTTGCATGTATCTGACTATTAGGTCTAAGATTATTACCACTTTGGGCAAAGGAAAGTTTTGTCCTACTTGGTAACAAGCTGAAAGAAGTAACTAAGCTGCAGATGGAAGAATGGGTTTGTCCCCTTTTCTCATGTGGTGTTTATATAGGCAAAGAAATGCAATACTAATAGCTAATATTAAACTTGCCTGTGTGGTGTTGGGAACCATTGAGAATGCTGGGGCTGGACTGTGAAGTGCTGTATGATTTTGTGTACAGCTACACAAAACTTTCCAAAGTCTTTAATTTTTTTCTCAGGGAAAAAAAATCTTTCATGACAAACCAGCATATTTTATGATTAAGCTCCTTTCTTGATTAATTTCCAGTTCTACTTCATGGTCAAGATGAAATAAAACTAATTTTAATTTTGAGTTTCTACATTTTAAAATGTCAAATTGCAAATAAGGTAATCTAGAGGTAACTGAAAATTACTGTTTTGTAATCCTGTTGAGTAAAAATGAAGTTGCTTAAAAAATTTCTGTTTATTCTTTTTTTAATAAATGAGTTTTATTGCTTGCTGCTTAGATTTTACTTCTTTTGTAGAATTATTGTTTGTTCTCATTTCCATTACATGGATGTTGTGGTTTTATCCAGAAGAGAAATGGACCATGTGCACAGCAGGGCTAATGAGTCACAGATGTAAACATTCTGGCACATTACTATCTAATAACTTCTTTAACTTATATTCCATAATAAGATAAATGCAAATCTGATACATCTGTTTCCTAAATGATGTATCATTCCAGTCTTAGCAGTGCCTCAGGAGTGGATTTCTTTATATATTAGTAGTTTTAGCCTTCTTTGGTTTTGTTTTCTGTTTATGTGTTTCTGAAGAGGAGATTTCAGGTCACTGAGCAATGCAGTTAGCCACACCACAGTTCATCCAAATGAAGTGGGAAGGCTGGTAAAACTGCCACCGGCTTTATGGGACCCACTTACAGGCTCTCAGCTTCCTCATCTCATGGATATGTATCAGGAATAAAGATGCTAAATGCAACTCAAAAATGCTAGTGAAGGACATGCATGCATCAGGAAGTTACTCTGCCTTTTTTTTTTTTAAAGACCGGTGCAGTCTTTGTGATCTGGAGGATCTCTGGTGTGATTGCATGTGGAGGTGAACAGAGCAAATATTTGCAGCATTAAAGGAATCTGCTGCAGCTGAGAGACTTGGCAGGCTGCCCTGGCCTGTTGGTGCTCTCCACTAGGCCAGCTGGGCTGCAAAGAGCCTTGTGCACTATGGCAACATGGGCTACACCAGCAGAGCCTTCACACAGGACTTTTTGGAAGGCCCTTTTTCCAGCAGCAAGAGCCAGGCACAGCCTTCCCTTTCAGAGGTGCTAAGCTGCAGTCCTGCAGCTGGATGCTCCAGGCCTCGCAGAGGGGCTGTGCCACCAGCTCTACCTCCCAGAGGTGGCATGTGGTCATGCAGGCAGGAGAGAGCTTAGAGCTACCAGGCTATATTTTATTCTGTCTTCCTTAGCCTAGTGTCTCTCTGCTATTGAACAAGCCTCTGCTTCAGAAAGTGTGCTATGCTAAATTCAGCAAGAGGGCTTAGAGATTTCCTTCTTTTTAGGAGTTCACTGCTCAACTGCATAAGGTTTCAGCTTTTCCAGGTTTAATTCACACCCTACAAGGCAGCATAAGAAAGCTGTTGAACTGAGTGCAAAATTCACCCTCTTGTATTGTGACAGCAGGCCGCAATTGCCACAGTCTTCAATTTTCATAACAATACAGTGCACGTTGTGCACATATTGGTAGAGTAGAATATGAGGAACTGTAAGTGGCATACAGTGCTTGAGGGGAAAAAATTTGCTCTGGATGTGAAAACACTGCTATGTATTTCTTGAAAACGTTGACCATGGCCATTATGGACTACCCAAGATCTAGCAATAGATTTTTGTTCAGTGTTATAGTTGTGTATGTGCTACCAGTTTATGTGCTGAATGTCATATGTTAAACAGAATGTGAGGAGCAGGATGTTAATTATGCAAAGCACTTCAAAGTATACTATTACTGCTGTAAAGTTCTGCAGCAATCCAGAATCAAAACTTTCTACGTAGGTCTCTTGAAGTGCTGTAGTACATTTTAATTGAAAATGGCTCAATCATCTACTGGCTGATAATCTTAACAACTGTCAAATGATGATAACAATTTATTGTAATTTTAAGGAAAGACACCTCCATGGGATTGCTCCTTCTAAAATCTCTTGATATTCTTTTTGTAAGGTAGCAACTTGCATCTGCAGTGTAGTGCAAACCTAACTGTTTCCCATATGACAGAGAGGCTGTTTCCTGTCAGTAGACAATGTGGGGTGTACTAAACATAGTGTTTGTTCTGTTTGTCTGTTAGTACATTGTCTCTGTGATGTTTGTGTTGTGCTGTTTTCGTACCATGTTGTGCTGTGTCCCTAGGGTCTGCCAGGCTTCCCCACAGTCGCTGCTCTGCACAGTAATCAGATCCTCACCGTCAAGGTTTGTGGCTGACATGTACCTGTTCAGTCAGGTCTCTCTGTATCAGCATAAAAGTGCACATGAAAAATCGCTTTTAATGTGGAATACCAATGGATCCTTATGGTAGACCTAAGTCAACCCCTCACCGCCTTTGCATTGATATAAGTACTCCTGATGCAGAGCATGGAATGAAATCCATAAGTGTGTATAGTGTTACCCCTGGAAATGGCCATATTCCTCATGATCTTGATCAGTATTTTGTTTTCAGAAGAGTTTTTTCTGTCGTTCTGCTTCCCTGAGGCATAAATGAGTGTGGAAAATGGCAGTGAACTCTATATTGGTTGCATGTAGAGTCAGCTATTTGTGTTAAATACCACAGGTTTGATCTTTACATCCATATTTTTTCAAAGTGCATTTGCAAATTAAGCAGAAAGCAATCTGGTCAAGCTGAAACTCCAGTCCTTATTAAAATGACACCATTCTTCATGGCACAATATGCTGGTTAGAAAATCTGACTGAAAGTTGAACTGGTGCTTTGTCTCTAGAAGCTTTGCTGAAAGAAGAACATATTAAAACATTGGTTTTTTAGAGCCCAGGTAATGAAAAAACTAATACACATGAAGAATTCTCACACAAAATCTGGGGAGAAAAAAGTTACACAGTTAAGTCATTGTATACGATTAATTCACAAAGCAGTATGTCCTGTACATTAGAGGTCATTTTTTTTTGAAAATGAAATGCACGGTTTCTTTCAGGCAGAAGCACCAGTTTATATTATTTTAACTATTACAAATCTAATGAATATGTCTTTATTTCTTTCTCGGGCCTTCTGATGTCTATTCTTCAATTCTCTCATCTCTGATCTTCAACCTTTGACCTCACCTGCCTGATCAGATGGTGTTTCCTAAAATCAATCATGGGTTTCTCTCTGCTGATCAGCAGCTCATTAAACGCCGCCTCATTAAGGTAGTGCTTCATCTCGCTGGAGTCTGGTTCTTCTTTATACTCAGTTTACTCTTTGCTGTGCCTTTTTGTCAGATGCCTTGAAAATGTTTTGGAATGGAGCCACTGTTAATGACATTAACAGTTAAAAGGCTACGGGTGGCTTTGCTAAGTGATCCACTTTTAAGATGCCAACAGCTTTTTTCAGTGATTTGCAGCGATGTGCTGAAAAAAACTAAAGCACCATTTTGGGGTGTCTTTTTTATAAAGGGGAAGGTAATATGTTTTGATAACTCTTTTGAAAATTGACTTTTACAAATTAATAGGAAAAAATGAAGAGAGTTAGCTAATTGTCATTATAAAACAGCCTCCCAAAACAGATGGAAAATTACGTACAACTTCATGGAAAAGCAGTTATTTTCCATTATCGTTTTTGAAACCTATCCATATATCATTCATGGGCTTGGAAAATTGCTGCGCAGACTGTATATTCTCAGATGTGACTTTTCTTTTTTTGCCTCAGCTTTGTTGTGATTATGCAAATCGTGAAGCAAACAGCTGCTCATTGAAAACAGTTACTTGCTGTGGAGAACTAGATGAGTAAAATATTGTAAGACTACCCCAAATTTTGGCATGTGTGCTGTGGTAGGACAAGCAGTTTAGAATCTGAACCTTCTGCTCTTGTGGCTGATTGCACCAGACAGATACAAACTGCTGGTCTTCGAGGCAAAATGCTGTCTTTACCATAAGCAGTGAAGAAGCCACTGTCCAGTTCATGGCAGCTTCTTCCAGCCTGTCTTGCACTTTTTCTGAGCACATTAATGTCTTTTTCTGTGGTTGATGTCTCTAAAGCAAACTTGTGATGAGTTTTTTGTTGGTTTAGGGGGACCAAGGACAAGCCGGACCCCCTGGACCTCCAGGGCCACCAGGACCCAGAGGTCCCCCAGGAGATACCGGCAAAGATGGTCCTCGTGGGATGCCTGGCTTAACGGTGAGTTAGTCTGTTGCTGTCATGATGTCCAGGTTTCTGTGGAGTGTATGCCAGCTTAGTTCCAAAGATGTTTTCTGAGGTAAGATTGGTAAGCAAGACATGTGAAAGCTGATCCACAGGCAGATTTCATGGTGTACCTGAAGTCCCACACACAGAGAGCAAGTTCATAGCAGGGCAAGCAGTAACATCAAGGTTCCTTACCTCCCACCCTTGACAGTTTCTCCACCCATTCTAAGGTTTCTCAGTTGCTCATTCATGTTTAATAGCTGTGTGAGCAGAGTCTGCCCCTCTCCATCAGTTGTAAATGTTTCTATTCAAATTTCAAGACAAAGCTGAATAGTTGAATTTGAGACACCGTAGCATGGATGGGCTTGAGTTCTCACTTGCTAGTGGTTTAACCTCAAAAATCATGGAATAAAGTAATAAACTGCTAAATACTGCCCAAACTATGATGAAATTTGGAGTTAGATTCTGCCATCTTTAAAAAAGTAGAACAGTACCATTTCCTTTGGCTCATACCCCATATTTCATTAGAACAAGCAGCAGAATCCAGTATATTGTGTATTGTTTGTTTTAGGTACAGAATCAATCCTACACTTTTTAAACAGATGCATAAAAACATGATTTTATTTTTTTTTAACAAAGTATGTGTATGGGTTTGGTTTTATATCTTGTAGCCTCCTTAATTTTTATCCTTTTGAAAGAAGTATATCTCTTTTCGTCATGAATGCCACTGTGTTATCAGTGCAGAAGTGGAATCAGAGACAGGAGGGAGATGTGACAACTGAGATGGCACATGTGTGGATACAATCATTAAGTAAAGATCATGGCTGAGAAGACACATAGGGAACAAGCAAGGTGATGACCAGCACTGGAAAGAAACTGATTTTTGAACAAAAAGCATAGCTCGTTACATGAGGCCAGGGCAGGAAGGCATTAAATTTCCCTGCAATGCATTTTTAGGAAAAACCAAGAAAGAAAATATCTACACTTCTGACCCTATTTGGGTATTAACTGTATAATATAGCATGATGATAATAGTAAGATTCTGCTAAAATTTCTTGTGAAAATCCAGCAAGACTTGCCAGTTGAGACCTGTGGTACTCTAGGGCTGCTGCTGCTGTTGTTGGTTTGTTTTGTTTTTTTACCACCCTCTCATAAGTTCTAGCTCAAGGTTATGAAATAACATGGAAAGTCTGTTGCTGTCATTGTGATGCTTTACTTTGACAACCTACTCATTTCTTGTTAGTCCTGTGGCATGTCAGGCTTTGGGCCTCTTCTGGGCCTCCCTTGTGTTCTTTTAATGTGGTTAAATTAACTGCAGTGAGCAGAGTTGCTGCTGGTTTGATCTAGTAAGGGCAAGACTGAAACCAGAACCCATTTCTGACTGCAATGATAATATTTTAATAATTCACATAGAAGAGGATAGCAGAATCACTCTGGTGTTGCTGGTTACAATGTGACTGCATGTTGCTTGGGGTATTGTGCTTTTTAGCAGAGGGATCATTAGTGTTTCTCATAACAGGAAAGTCATGTATTTTATGCAATGAGGTCATTCCATTTTATGATAGTTCTATAGTGATTTTGACTTTAGATGGCAAGAGAGAGTTTCTTTTTATAGTTTTTAAGCTTTGACCTATAGCATTATGGAAAATCAGTTCATAATACTGCTTTAGATTTAGATACAAACAAGCACTCAGGTAGAAACCATTCAGTTTGCTGACTTTACTGTCCTGCTCCTTGCTGCTGTTCCTGATCCTCAAAAGGCTTGTTCCTCCGTGGCTGTGTGACATGCAGTCAAATAGGAGATCTGTAAAGGGAAAACTTATTTGAGAGGTAAGGACAGATTTGTATCTTCAACAGACTTGCATGGACCTTTGAGCTAGAGAGCTGAAAACAATAGCTGCACTGTGTTACAAATAGGGACATTGCAGTATCACACAGCTATAGGAGGATGTCCTTACAGTGACCAACCACCATTAGGCAGACTTTTCCTCTTTTGTAGTGTTGGGCAAAGCAGGGGCTTCTCTTCTGGCCTCTCCCTCTCAAGCAAGAAGCTTTACAATTCCTACAGCTATACGATGATGTTTTGGCTCTTGCTTTCCCCTATGCCCATACACTTGCTGTATATCCTGGAAAAGTCAGGCAGATGAGGTAGCAAGGTAGAGGGAGTAACTCCAGGAGCCACTATTACTTCTCTTCTGCAGTGTAGCAGGTTGAGGAACAGCCTTTGTGTCCACACATCTCTATCTGTGTCATCACCACCTTGCAACCCAAAGGTGTGCATCCCATTACAGATACTTACAGCTTCTAGAGATGAGATTATGTTGGTTTCTTGGGCAGGAAATCATTAGAGCCAAGGAGGTAGAAGTGTTTGGGAAATGCCATTGGGCATATTGCCAGCAGAGAGAGCACCTTGAAAGGGTTGTGCAGTCTTTTTCTAAGCCTTTCTTTGGACATCAGCAGTGGAACCTGTTGGAACCAGAACACACTTGATTTCCTGATAGTGACACGTAGAATAGGTGCCTTCTCTTTGCGTCACACAGACACCGGCACGAAGAATTTGAAACTTTAACACCTCCAAAAGGAAGTAAGAGGAGAGTGAAGGGTTTTTGCTGGTAAGAAGACAATAGAATATGATACAAACTCTTGAAATTTTTTCAGAATTATTTCCCAACGTTTATGGGGATATCTTGATGCTCACTTCAGGCTGTGTGATTGCTATATACGTAAGTTAGCAAGGCTTCAGAGCGAGCTGAAGAGTCCAGCAAGCTTGGGTAATGAGCTGTCAGAAACCTGTGCCTATGTGGCTTCTTTCTTCTGGCTATGTTGTTGTGTTTGCAGATGCTGCATGTTTGCTTCTGAATGTGATGCACACATACCCAGAGATGCAGTTCTGATTCTTTTCAGTTGCTAAGAACAATGACATCAGAACAGTTCTTATCAATTTTATGACAGGCTTTCTTTTATGACAGAGCTGCTAAAGAAGACCCTGCAGCTGTGCTGATACAATAGCACATGGACTGCCCTGTGCTCAGTTGGGTTTTCAAGGGAATGATCTATAAACCAGACCACCGGTTTTTTTGAATGGGTATTTTTAGCCCGTATTGTAGGACTGATATGTTTTACTGCCTCTACAGACAGATGTGTGTGTTCATATGGCAAGAAAGGAGAGAAGATAGATTCTGACTTTATGTAGAGTTGTGCCTGCAGAAAGAGAATACATTGGAAAAATGATGGGTTTGAAAGCCAATCCAGGTATTTAGCAGCTGAGTAATTATTGCATGGCTTCAGAATACCAGTATTCTTGGGTTTATGGAACATGATAATTGACAACGGTAAGTTATGCTTGCTGAATGAGGTGGTGACACAGAGCAGTAGTCTTGGAATATATAAACTGCAGGATTCAGCATGTATGTGAAAATGACCTTTCTCTGTGTACTTTAGCACTGTGAAATGGAATATTATATTTAGAACCAAGGGACAGAGTCAGAACACTAATGCTTAACTCTTGCCTTGAGAACTATACCATTACATGATTGTGAAATAGTGCTTTGCTTCTTAAGATGTCTGTGATTTGGCCTACCGGGTTAAAAAGCAAAAAAGTAATATATTTAATATGCAGTCAGATGCCATACCTGTTTAAGAATGAAATTTTTAAGGTATTTTATTATTAGACAGAAAATTGAATTCAAGACATGTTGCTGAAATTATTCATTCCTTATTTTATTCTAAGGGTGAACCAGGGAAACCAGGAGAACAAGGATTGACGGTAAGTACTCTTCCAGTTTGCTAAGAAAATGTCATATATACATGACATATGCTTTTTAAAATGTGCAATTCCAAAAAGCTTTATAGCTGTGTATTTCCTAACCTTTCTTTGTCACAGGCTATTTGAAGCCTTGTTTGTGAAGAAAACAAGAGTGAGAAAGGCAACATCACCTGTCACATAAGGCCAACTTCTTTAAGCTTGCAGCACAGGAAAATAAAAAATCTAAGGGCACAGCAAAGCAAAAAAGAACCAAGCCAGGTATTCCCAGTTCCTGGCCACCTCTTAACACTGTCTCCGAAGTTGGGCTGTTTCCACCTTGAGACCATTGAGCAGCAGAACCATCTTCTTGTTTAAGGGCTAAAATCCAAGCTGTCTCTGTGGTAATGGCTCTGGACTTTTACCTGGCAGAATAGAGAAAACACAGCACTGAAGCTCTCAGAATATTCTCCTCTTCTGAGGTTTCAGCTTTTTTCCTGTGTGTGTGTGAAATATTTCCTATTTATTTGGAAGTAAATTGAAGCTCCACTGGTTATAAATCAGCTTTAGCCACAAGTTAAGGCATCATAAGTTTCTGCCTGTCACATATTCCCAGAACTGTGAAACATGCAGGGCTTTTTCTCCCTTAAGATCTCCCTAAACACTCATAGTCATTCTTAATTTTATGAGAGATGACAGAATTGTAGCCCATGGCATGTGGTTTTGATTCCTAAATGCTTCTGAGGAGGAAGATTATATGGAAGATTATATCAGCAATCAGTGCAGATATGATTGTTATCTGAATTTATGAAGATTTAAACAGATGTGATGATATTTTACCTTGACAATTTGCAAAAGATTTTGAATTGACAAAATCTTTTAAAAGAAAAATCCCAATATTCCGAGACTTAGAAAGATCTGCTGTGATCGGGCAGTTAAAAGTCCTGTACGTTTTCATTTTGAAATAAAGGTTTAGCAAAATCAAAATCAAAGCCTCCCAAAGGTACTACCCAATGTTTTAGCATACTTCTGGACTCTTTTTTATTTTGTCTTTTTGGTTTCCAAGGGCCTGTGAAGAATACATGCAATAAGTAGGAAGGGAGGATTTTTTTGCTTGTTTTCTTATATTTGGATTATTCTCCTATTTGACCTCTGGAAAAAACTCAGATTCTGCAAGTGTCTTCTTTCTATTCAAGACCAGATCTTCAGAGCCACAGGATGCTTAAAGGCTTTTAAAGCAAATAATAATTCATCACTTTTTAGTCTCCATGTTCAGAAGGTTCCCACTGCTCTAAAGTAACCATTTGTGTGAAAGAACTAAACTGCTACTGCTCTGTTTCCCTAAATGCAAATGTGTTTAGCTAGGAACAAAAGGTGTTTTAAAACTCAAATCAGCAAGCTTAGGTTGGAGAAAGATCCCAGATTACATGAATATCCAGCTCCAAATGCCTGCTTGAAAAGTCAGTCTGACAGCTAAAATGTTAGGTTGTGTACAGATCAAGTAAAGAACATCAGAGGATCAGGGAGGTAATTAGTTTCTTTTTATTTTTCTTTGTGCTTCTGACATACTCTTTATGCCAGTACAGATTTGCAGACTCTTTTCCCTGTGGAAAGTGCTGCAATCATTCAGGGACCGTCTAGCTGCTTCTGACATCTTCCATCATGCATTTCATGAATTTCCACGTTGAGAATTCAGAAACTGCTGCGGGAATGGCTGATTTCCCAATACGTATGCCATAAAATTGCATTGCTAGAGAAAATAGTTATAATATGCTGTGAGGAAAACAGGCCTTTGCCTACCTGAGATTCTTTTTCTCCATTTTTCACCTAATATTTTTTCAAGTAAAGGAAAATGGAGATCTCTGCCCAGAGGAGATTATAGGTTAATTCTGCAGGAATTCTTTTGTAAGGACTTGCCTTTGTTTCACACCAAAAGTCTCAAGTCTGAGTTTACTTGCTGTTTTTTCTTTCTGATGAAATAGAAACCATGAAGTTGATGAGTCTCATAAAATTACTACCAGTCTTTGTCTCCCAAACATCCCAAGTCCCAGATACACTGGAGTGTAGAGTATGCTGTGGTTTCCCACTTGCCCACATGTCCATGGCCCTTTCCAGTAAGAAGCAAGTGCTGTGGCGTGTACTCTGGTTCTTCCTCCAAGATGGAGGCAGGATACCTCCAAGAAGAGCACCAGATGATGTGAAACAATCCCTACAGTCTTAGTTTTCTATTTTCTCTTCTTAGAAGAAGTAGAATAAATTTCTTGAAGAGCACAAGATATGGTAACAATATTAAGTAACAGTGTTTTTCAACTTGTTCCTCAGAATATACCACAAGTCTAATACACACATTGAGTAACTTGTGACCTACTCAAGCAATGTTTGCCTCGATTTACCAAAAGTTGAAATAATTTTAATGCATTTAGAATTCTGGGAATGTTCATGTTCTCCTTTCATCAAAATAGGAAATCCAGTGACTAGTGAAAAGATGACAAACTGAAAATCTGCTGCCATGTTCTTCTTTGTTTTTAATGAAGTCCTGTGTTAGTAAAGAAAGAGAAAGTCATGTTTCAGGTGATGTTGTGAGAGAGGGCAGTAATAACCTTTCTCCCTCTCAGGCAGGAAAGGTTTGCTTGGAACATATGCCGAGACTGACAATGTTTGAGTTCTCTGATGTGAGTTCTGCTTTGGCATGAGAGAGAGCTCAACCTTCAATACAGGGAATAGTTTTCCCTATTTCAGGCGTAAGAACGTGTGGGTTATGGCATGGTGGTAGAAGGATTTAGGAGGTGGGAGATCTGGTTGTTTCTTACAGAGGTCTCTCATTCTCAGCTAAAAATCTTTCCAGATTGTCGGACTCGCAGTGTGCTTCTATTGTTCTTTTATCCTTGCGGTTGAGATGTTTGGGAGACCTCTTTGCATATAGAACCTTTTTTGGCTCTATATGTTGCTGTGTCAGGAATAATCTGTTTTCTCTTAGAGCCAAGAAATTTCAATTTCTTTTTAGATGAGATAGTGACTTAGGTTTAAGTTATAAAGGTGTGACTGCATGCATCTTGAATGTTAGAAAGGAATGTGAGAATGACTAGTTAGTTGCAATTTGTGTCTGGTTTCCATGGCACTTTAAAGACCTGCAGATCTACTTTCCATGAGGGTTGAAGGTATCATTCCTCTGTGCAGAAAGGATTAAGAGAATTCAGAGGGAGGCCAGGCAGTGGAATGACCAAAGGGATTAAGTTTTGAAATACTGTGGGGAACTAGTAAAGTGAATGCTGAGCAAGAGAAAAGGCCTGTAGTTTCCTTAGCTTTTCAACCTTTTCAGTTAAAGTTTTGCCAAGCCTCTCATAATTCATCCTGCTTCCCATGCCATTTGTCTACAATTCTTGGTGGTAAGGACTCTTGAATACCATACAAAAGTTTTTCTCGTTTCTCTTCTCATTTGCAGAGTGAATAATATATGAATTTGTGATTCCTTTCTACCTAAGAGCTATGATTTCTGATTACAGACTATTCATGAGAGCTTAGAGTCATTGATGGAAAATACCAAAGGCTGACACTGATAGATCAACATTTTCAGATTCGTAAACTGCAACAGGATAGAGAGTGTGCACGGGATGGTTTTGTTTCTTATTTTTATGTGTGAGATTTTTTGGGGTTTTATGTTTAAAGTACTTTAAACTAGTGCATAGTAATAAAAATTTGGAATATAAAAATCTGCTATGTTTTCAGCTCCTTTTTTAAGAAGGAAATTACCATGTTCAGCATATGAATCAACCACTTCATGTCACTGAAAGAAAACCTCCATATAGTATTTTATCCCCTAAAATTTGCTTTAAAGATAAGTAATTTTACAGATGTTTTGCATGAACAGAACACTCCAGAATTACAAAGAACTCAGGTAAAGGTGTCTCTTTGCAAAAGAAATCTATTCTATAATGATTAACCCAAATTCAAAATCCCTCTGCTTTAAGATGTATTGTTTTCCAAACTAGTATTTTTGTGCTTATACAGTCTTGCTGGGCATTTGTTCAAGAAAATAAAACTTAATGTTACTGCTTTTACTAGTTGTTCAGAATAAGAAGAATGTTCTCTCAAAGGATACAGCCGTTTTTGTGAAAGACAGTGGAAAAGCGTAACCTTGCAGTTAAGCCTGCAAAATGTCACATCTTTAAAATGAATTAATATTATTTTTTCATCTTAGGTTAAAATTAACAAAGTGAACACACAGGGACCAGGCAGAACTGTCTAGGAAGTACTGCTGGTTTCAATTCAGCCTTTCAGGCCAATGGTCAAGGCCAGCTTCTCAGCTGCTGTGAATCTTCATAGCTCCTCTGGGAAGCTACTAATTGTGATTTTGTTTTCCATGGCTAGGGTTCTGTAGGCGCCTTCTTTGTTTAGCATGTGGTAGCATGTTCATAGTGAATTTTATAAGGTGTTGTTCTTAAGCTGTTTAGCTGCAAAAGTTTATGAGAACTATCAGATGAAGTGGAAATTTTCAGCCTGTACCTTTCACAGCAACTATTCTTTTTTTCCCCAATACAGTTGCACTGGGCTTAGCTTGCAGGAAATCTCAGGAAAAAATAGGTTTTGGCATTTTGTAACCTCTGGACCTCAGTAATGGCTACCACAACAGTGATTGAAAGAAAGAAGAAGCTCTTCTTGAGCGCTAATTAAGAGCTGTTGTTGCTCTTTTCATCAATTAAGGTAGATAGCGTGGAACAGGGGCACAGGTTTCTCAGAAGTTATAAGAGACTTTCCATCATAGTTAATCTGGTTTTTTTAGCTGGACATTCTTATATCTAGGTGATTCATCAATACTAAAGCATGGCACATTTCAATACTAATACTCTAGAAACTGCAGTCTTTATGAAACACTCCTCAACCATGCAGGTACACGTTTTCAGAATTACGTAGTGTTCCTTTTACACAAAGGAAATGGGGTCAGTGGGTAGAACACTGGCTCCACTGAAATGTAGGTGAATGCTTTGTATGAAACCTGCACTTCCTCTTCATGTACATCTGCTAGT